ACAAATCTTGGTTTTAGAAGATTTCCAAAACCCATAAACCCTCCACTCTCTAAGCTTCTCTATATAAACAAAGTTCCATTAGAATTAAGATCACAAAGAGTTAGCCGACTTTAGCATCTAAACAATGACGAAGACAGAAGCACCAACGAAAAAGACAGAAGTAAAAGAAGAAGGCACAATGTCAAAACACAAACGCGTAGTTTATTCAGACAAACGAAAAATAAAAAAGTACTCTTTGGTCGCTGCAGTTTTATTAATCATCATACTCTGTGTGTTTGTCATCGTCTACAAATCTATCCAACCGCGTCCACTGTTCATTCTTGAAGATCTCTACGTTGATTCCGTCTCAAATTCAAGTTTGATGGTAAGTGTTCGATTTTTCTGATTTTCTATTTTGGAAAAATAATAACCTAAGCATATGGATCGATTATGGTATGGTTTCAAATTTTCTATCAAGCAATTCCTGTTTTATAAAGTAGTTTCTTTTTGGTTATTCAATAAGTAAAGCCATCTAATTATCGTATTAAGAACTTTTCGTTCAATTTGAATCCAATAGATTTGGTTTGTCCAAAACATTATTTAACGAAATTCAACTTTTTTGAATTAAAACAGGTGAAACTCTTATCGACCAACCCAAGCTCCAAGAGCAGTCTTTACTACAGCAAGATCGGTATGCGTGTGTGGGTCGAAGGAAATTTCGAGACAGAGAGAGTTTTCTTGGCCAACACGTTTCAGAAGCCGAAAAGTGTTCTAGCGTGGACAGCTGCCGTGGCAACCAATAGCAACAACGCTAGGATTAACGGGAGTTTTCAGATGAGAGACGGTGTGACAAAAGGCAACGTAATTGTGGATTTATCCATCCAATGGAAGAGTGGTATCCTCTCCTCGTCAAAGTTTAGTTCACGCATAAGATGTCCTCTTTTGCTCAACCTAAAAGACTTGACCTCTGCAGTTTCCAAACCAATGTCTTCTTGTTCTCTTCTGCTCAACCCAAAAGACTTCACCTAGTTTCTTGTCTTTTATTTTTATTATTATATCTAGATTAGGATCCGCGATGATACGTGGGTAAACGCATTAAAAATTATTAATATCAAATTTAAGTTTTCATTAATAACCCGTTAAATTACAAAAATATTTAAAATATTTAAACATGAGTTTTAAACCATTAAAGTTTAACTTATATCTTAATTTTTATCCTCTAATTCATATTATGCACAACAAA